AAGCTGTGGTTTACAGTGAATTGTGCCTAACAACGTCTCTTAGCTGTTATAAATTCACTGTAAACCACGGCTTCACGGGGCTTACTGCTTTCATAAAACGGTTATTCCATATACGTAGGAAGGTTTCACAGAATAAAGTGTAATGATATTAATAAAAACAGTATTCTTCCACCAAACAATGTAGTTCCTCAGAAACAGTAGTGGTTCCAACAAAGTGGTTGCCAAAGGTGTATGTTTGTAGTGTAATTTACAACAGCTTCGAACGCGGCTCAACCAATCAGAATCAAGGACCGGAACTATCCGTTTTATAATATTCACATGTCATACAGGTATCAAAAGACATAGGGGAGAATAAATTCTGACAGATTTTTCATTTTTGCGTGGACTACTTCTCTATAATATTAGGCTAAAAAGGCACTTTTCCCCCTCAGACATTATCCTTATCTGTTAAATGATTAAGCCCATTTATCTTGCAATGTGCAAAATCTTTTTTGTTGTTGCTGGTCTCAGATTTCACAAGACCTCCACATGCAGCCAAGAATAACTACATGATTTGTTACTCTTCACACAAGACAAAGTGAGCTGAGCGATCAAATGTATTAGGTTAGAGAGCAAGAACAATTCCCCTTTCACTGAATGTGACCGAGTTAAATTCTCACCTTGGATGGTAAAAGCTTTCAGAAGCTGACTTCCTTCCAGAAATGTTGAATTTTCGATCATACATAAGCTCAATTTTGTGTCGTTGAGGCTAGTTATGTTAGCATATTCGCTACAAAACATAAACACGTAGGAATTGTGCCTAATAATGTAAACAAATCAAATAAAGCGCAGTAGCGCACACTTGTTGGATTGGGTTGTGTAGTTCATATCTTGACCCTGAAGGTGGCGCACCTCATTCACAGGACTGCAGTAGCAACATTGCAGACAGGGTTGCCAAGAACTGGGCTACTTTAAACTTGCCAGGAGACCGTTTATGATTACTACTGCGTGTAATGCATAACAGTAACTAAAAATTTATT